ATGGCATCTGATCAGAAAAAGAAGCATAGACGGTCGGTCTGCTCCGCCTTCCGGGAGAGTAGCAAAAGAAAGCATGTTGCAGCTTTTTGAGGACATTGTTCCTTCAACTATAGGGGAGTGTTTTTTTCTTCAACTGATTGGTGCCCAGCAAGGAATTTCGGGCCTGGATCCCGAAAGATCGATACCTTTTTGGGCGTCCGACACCGCTCAAACGCACTCATATCATTTCCCAAACGGACTCCGCCGGACTCCGCGTACTCGCACCTCACACGCACTCCGCCGCTGGACTCGGTCCGAACAGCCGTCCCTGGCCGGCCGTTGGCTCCGTCAGCTTCGGGGCGCTGAGAGCGCGCCGTTCTGGGCGCTGCTTGGGTCGTCTCGGCCGGTGGTGACCGATGTGGCGCTGGACCGTGGCCGCTCTGCCGGTGGCTGGCCTGGCCTGCCCGAAAGGCGCGGAAGCGGGTGAAAAGAGGGGGCGATTGGTGCAGAGGCGATGTGGTTTGAGTGCTAAATTTTGCGCAGGTTTTTTTGGGGGGTGGTTCTTTTGTTGGCAGGTTTGACATTGAGGTGTGAAACTGGCTGAGAATCCGGTGGTGCCAGATTCGGAGAAGTTGGCCAGAGCAATCCACAGAGCTGCGGAGACAGGGGAAATCACTTTCAAGACCAGCACGAGGAGAACACTGCAAGATGGAAGTGGTTTTTATGAGGGAGAACCAAACATGTTTCTTCGGTACAAGACATGAGGGAACACTAGAATCTGTCGCGGATTCACAAAAGACCTTTTGGAACAAGTATGACCATGCGGTCCCACTTGCACACCTCCTTCAAACAATGCTTGGTGGCCACCAGCGAGGCTTCCGGGAATTCAAAGAAGGATGCTATGCCATCACGGAGGCACGAACCAGGGGTCGAGGGAACAGCCTGGGTTGAGCGTTGCTCTGAACAGAAATGGGTGATGCGGATGCGGGTGATGCTTTTCAGCATGTCGCGTTTCAGAGGCTAAGATCCATGTTGCCCAAAGATGGCAGAGATCTCCAAGGTCGATTCAGTCGACCCATGACATCCATGCAAAACTCGTGTGATCTTTCATTTCTACTCCTCTCACTCATGCAGCCACCGTGGGCTGCTCCCCCGTCCCTCGATGCCCAGAGACCGGAGACCTCAAAAGCTGGCGAGAACAACTGCGAGCGAGCCGTTCGGTTCGAGTCGCGATCTTCTTGTTCCTAGCAGTAATGCCAGGAGCCCCTAGTAGCGTCCTTGCTCCTAGTAGCGATGCCCTTTGCTCCTAGTAGCTATAGTAATGCCAGGAGCTACTAGTATGATATAACTCTATTTTTTGGATCGAAGCGGCTTCAAGGAGATGGGAAGCATGACGCAATGCCAAGATAACATTTGCACCTCATTGGGCGCCACCCTTGCAGTGATCCACGACGTCGAGGCTGGATCCCTTTCGGAGGGGATGGTGAAGTCGAAGAAATCGTTGGAGGAAAAGCTGCGTTTTTCTTTTGGACTCCCCCCAACAAGCATGGAACCCCCTCTCGTTAGAGGAGCATAGTCTTCTGGAGGTGACGGTGGTGGGACCTCCTCAGGCACTCTCCCACCTTCTTGCTCGGCAGCCGAGAGGTGGGCCAAAGGCTTCGATGGTCTTCCAGACCCTCCCTTTGAGGGCGATGAAGCGGTTGTCATGTTGAAGGGTTCAGCACTCTCAAAAAGAGTGACGGTGACAATTCAACCAAGCTCCCAGACAATAGATGCAAGTAATATATATCTAGAGAGTCACAACAAACTAAAAACATATAAAAACTAAAAACCTCAAAAGAACGGATTCAGCCAGATACCGATTTTTGGATCCACTCTTGGATCTGTGGGTTAGATATTTGTTTCAGCGGTTGAATCCTTGTTTGCCTTGGGCCAGGTTCAATTCTTCTTGGCGAACTTGACCCATGAGAAAAAGGCGCGCTGCCTTGACATGTGTGGTACTTTATTGGTCGGCCAAGTGGGCAGCCCACCGCCACAGCCAAGGATCAAACGGACCACCGTGTCCTCGGACTGATGACCCCCAGCGGACTCGGACCACGTGTGCTCCGAAGTATTCAGCTCCTCCGCTTGGCCATGAGTCCGATGGATGGCCCTTTGAAGTTGAAAGACCATGTTCCTCTGTTTTCAGTAAGGAAGTTCCCCCCTGAAGAGGTACTCGGGTCAGCACCCTCCAAAGCTGCCGTGAGTCACCACCTGCCACGCCACTTGGGTCATCTCCATTTCAGCCACCCAAACTCGGAGACCTGGATCTTTTTCGAGGAACTCTGCGGATCGGGTGCCGAACTCCGCGGGTGGTACCTCCAGGCACCCGCCTTCGTGGGGCTCTATGAGCGCGGGAGCAACGAGCAGCTGGGCTCCCGACGTCGCGATCTCGAGCTCGGGAGACGGTGAGAACTCTTCGCCACTTCGAAGAGTTCTCACATGGGTGGAAGTGGATGGCACCCCCGTGTTCGCAACGGAAGGTGGTCTTCCAAGGGGATCAAGCCATCCACTTACTTCCATGGATTCTGTGGGTAGATCACGAAGATGATGCAGATGGATCACTCATCACAGATAATGACAAAAATGTCACCTAGGACTTTGACCGTTGGTAGGTCCACGGACACAGGGCTTAGAGTGTTGGTTCAGGTTGACTTACTTTCCGCTCCAACACTCTCAACAGAATTCACCGAGAGGATGCGGGGTTCAGAGACGAGAAGTGGGGTGGGGTGCCCCAGGTCCTTTCTGCCCAGGTCCTGACCCGCTGTTCTCAAGCTGTGGGGATGTTGACTGCTCCGCGAAAGAAGGTGGTGGTGGTGGTGGGTGGTGGGGTGGGTGGTGGGTGGTGGGTGGTGGGTGGTGGGTGGTGGGTGGTGGGTGGTGGGTGGTTGGTGGTTGGTGGTTGGTGGTTGGTGGTTGGTGGTTGGTGGTGGTGGTGGTGGTGGTGCATGGTGAACTCCTGGGCTTTTTGGTCTCAAACTCCCTGGACTGGTGTGCAAACCCGAACGCCCCACATGAGCAGAGAACCTTTTGGGTCGCATACTTCTGTTTATCCTATTTCCAGGGCCCAGTGGATGATGCGGCCTGCAACCACAGGCCGCCATCCATCTCTCAAAAAGGTGATGTGAAACGGTGAAGCCCAAAGGCTCCTTCCAGGTCTTCTGGGACAGACCTGACTTCAACACCTTGGAGAGACCCGTTTTTTTCCTGTCAGGAGCGGAGATTGGACGTGGCTGGATGGAAGCAATATGAGCTTTGAGCCTGAGGGGGTCAATCAGACAGTGCAGCTTGGTTCATCTACCGAGACCAGTTCATCTGAGGGTGAGTTCTTGAACGGAGGGCACGACTGGCATTGAATCTAACGCCGTGGGGTTCCTATATTCTTACAGCAGCTATTTTTGTTAAGAGACCAGCATTTTTTTTAAATGCTTTATGTTCTTCAGCTATAATATTCTTATTGACTGATAATGCATTTTCATGCTATGATTATTCTATCTACATCAATTATATCTTTCTTTATTTCTTTTATCAGAGTTCTACCTCATCATTTTCTTAGGCTATATTTTCATTCACTTTTATTACCTTATGGGAATACTTCCATCCTATCAATTTATCTATATCTTTCAGGAAGAGGAATGCCAACCTCTTCGTCCGTCGCGCGTGACGGCCGCTCATAGGTGGCCGTCACAAATGGCAGCACCGCGCAAGAAATCCTGAGACTTCAGACAGGCTACTCTCAATAGGAGCGGATGCCCATCCAAACCAGTGGACATCAATGCAGCAACTTAGAAAAAGACACGTCTAACATCGTCTGACTATACTATACTGATCAGTATTTCATTTAGGCCGTTTTCTTCTACCTGGGCTGACCTGAGTGTTTGTTTTTGATACAGCATGAGGAACCCCCTGGCTGGCTGGGCCTACACCGAGCCTGACAATTGGTGCTTGGACGAAGACTGCGCTGCTTTGGGTGCCGCTTTGGCAGCGAAGACGGATTGGAGCAACCTCCAGGATATTTTTGGGGACGTTCACCCGGGTAGGTGTACCTTCCGAGGGGCCCGAGGGGTGTTCCTTCCGGCCAGGCCTCCAAAGGAAGGTGGTATGTCACATTGTGATTCAGTGATTCAGAGGATATTGACCGATTGACCTAAAGAAAACCCGACACCTGTAGATGGTCGAGGTGCTGGAACCTTCTTGGCGGGGTTCGGCATGCGACCGACTTGATTTGGGGCCACTTGTGGCACTTGTGGCAGAGGTGACGTGACAACCCTCACCGAGCCTGGAGGTTGTTCCATCACACTTGCAAAGCGACCTCCACATGCGGAGGAAAGGTTTGACCTCCACAGAAACGCGGATTTCATGCGGCCGGTACATCAAAAAACCATAAAAAGCCTGGGGGTGCTGCATTTCGGCAGATAGCCCATGGGCTACACGGCTACTGCAGTTTCCTCGTTTTTGGATATCGAACGAAACAGCACCCTCAGCTTATGCGAGATAGACGAATCCTTGGAAATGCTTGTCCCACTCCAAGGACGTCAGCAGGGGGGCAGAGACCTGGAACCGGGCTTGGGAGCTGCAAGGAAGACGATGTTCCTTCAGGTTCCATGTTAAGGTATTTAACCCGGAAGACTCTTAAATCTGGTTGCATGGTTCCTTCTGAAGACTATTTTCCCTGATTTCAGGGTTAATATTCCAAAACGTACAACCGCTGTTTGATGATGCTTTTGGAGAGACTGTATTTCCCGGGTGGCTTTTTGGTCCGATGATGGGACGTAACTCGTTCTTCCAGAATAACACATCATGCGTCACTGTCATCTGACCCCATTCTCTTGGGTGCCTTGCCAGAAACATCGAAAGCAGACGCCGGTTCCTCATGGTCTTTCCCACTTGGTAGATCCTTGTACCAATTAGAAGTCCGAGTCCTGGACATGTCTCGGCTCCGGGTCCAGATCCACCACTGTCTCCGGTTCCGGATCTCTCAGATGGACTACATCTCCAACTACTCAAGTGCCAAGTTCGGCGTCTTCGCGCCGATGTTCAACATGCGTCGCACCATGGGCTTCTTTGACATCGCCTGCAGCACACAGCTCCATTGCTTGTGCCAGACAGGCCGGGGAAGGAGGAACTCTCTTTGGGATGTGGAGAGTTCATTCACTCGACCAGCGCCATCCATTTCGTGTGGCTATTTGCATTGGACATACAGTGGAGCTTCCTCCAGAGTGTTCTTTTCTTTGATCTGGGGTGTGAAAAAAATCTTTTAGAGTCACAGCCTGATATTTGAGTCTGAGGATGTTTTTTGGTTTTCTGATTTTCTGATATTCCACATAAGCTACTGGTGAGCCACAGGTGTTTCTCCCGCACGTGTCTTTTGGGCGGATGTTTATTTCGGTTGCGGATGTTTATGTGATTCACAGACCTAAATGAAGGTCTGTTGAACTACTGACCCCCCAAAATGCAACCACACCACGAGGTTGCAGGTATACGGTATACCCTTCCAGTCCAAAGACTATACTTTCCCTCTGTGAAGTAAAGGACATTCCCAGACTCAGATCCCATTCTAAGACCATTCTTTGTATAGTCTTTGACTCGCAGGATATATATATATATATATATAAGTATATATATTGTATATATGCACACACACATATATATATATAATAGATAAGTCCGGTGATGCTATCGGGGGGTGAACAAAGCCACCCCAACTTGGCTGCCTACTTTTGGCATGTGGAGAGGTGCCTCACCGAGCCGACCAGAAGCAGCGCCGTCGGCCGGCCTCGCGAACGCCGAGGCGATGTGCTTCCGGCGGTGACGCAAGACTTCTTGATGTGGGAGTCCGGGGCTGCACGCACGTCAGACGCGAGTGGTGGGGCTTTTGGGCGGTGTTCTGGACCCTCCCGCGCGAAGGACACGACGTCTGCGTGAGTTCAGGGACCGGGGTCGGCCGGCGTCCGAAGTCTATGGAGGGGGTCCGGACCTGCTCACCACTCCCGGTTTTGAGGGACCAGTCGGCCTGTGAACAGAGTATGGAGGGATGACTTCCGAGGGGTGACCTGGAAGAGAACTCCGTTGACCCAGACGTTTCAAACAACACGGTTTCTTTGAAATGGTTATTTGAGATTCCAGAATTCCTCCATAGGATTGCAGGTCCAATGAACTTCCTAGATATTCCTTAAGAACTTCCTCAGTGTGCATGTTTTTGATCCGGGGCGTGAAAATCCACAGGCGTTTGTACACAAGCTACGGGCATTTATTAGTGAGCCACGGGTGTTTTGACCCGCGCGTGCCTTTTTCAGCGGATTTTTGGTTGCGGATGTTTATATGGTTCACAGGCCTAAGGAGGTTGCAGGAATGAGGGTACAATGAGCCTTTGGATAGTTATTATTGGCTTCCTGGACAGCACATCTAAGGAGTTCAACAACTCTCTGCGCTGGGATGAGAATAGCCTCCACATGAACAGGACCTATTGGGAGAACTATATGACATGCTTCAAGAAGAGGACGCGTTTCTGTGGCGCATTTCAGGTAGGTTCGTCAAATTCAAACATGGACGGCTTCATAGCAAGACCATCCTGGACCGGGGTGTCCTGGCTGGACTGGGTACCACACGGATCCGGCCGTTCGGCTTCCTATTCCAGGGCACCCCAACAGGTCGGATGGTCCAGGTATGGTTTCTCTGAAGAACACATGCACCTGTTCCATTTCTTCTTTGTGGACCGTTCTGTGGACCCACCAACCCGCCGCTGGCAGATCCGACGAAGGTTTGAGTCGGATTGGGCCTGGATGGGCCTGGATGGGGGGGATGGGCGGAACCAGCGTAGACGACTCGTGCCCTCACACCATTTCATCGTCTATGACTCATGTTCTGCAGAAGAGCGTGTCCCAAGGCTGCTGGTGGTACAATGACACCACGTTCCAATTGACTTTCGTTCTGCTCTCCCTGCTCTGTTTGGGCTGCCTTGTCTTTAGCCTGGCCGGCTGCAATGGAGGCAGACCGGGACGGTGGGACCGTGTGCACGTCGCAGGTCGTTTTCGGTCCACCCAGTACGTCGCGATCGCGATGGAGCCAATTTGGAGCCGCGTTCGTGGCGCGTGTACCGCGAGTGGAGCCGCGTTTGGGTGCGAGAGGTTGAGCGAAGAATGGGTCGCCGGAACTGAGACTCGCTCGGTCCAAAAGAGTGTTCGCTCGGTGGGGCCTGGGTTTTGAGAGACAATCCCTTCTTGTTTCACCAGAAGGGTTGCTCGGTACCATGATCAGGATGGGTGGCCGGATCGTTTGGAACCGGGATGGGCGATCGCTCTTTTCCAACTGACTGTTCTTCTGGACTTTTGTGCCGCCAGCCTTTTCGCTTGTGCGAGGTGCACAGCGAGAGGTCACGCTCAATGATGCAACTGCAGCTTCCAACTACGGCCAGCTGCTGGAAGCCTGCGAACGTGTCTCGGCGTGGCACCGGGTTTCACGCCCAATCTCCTGCCAACAGCACCGGTTGGAATCCCGTTCCGCATCAGTGTTTGACTCAGGAGCTTACACTACAAAACCAGGTCAACCAATTTGTTTATATTGGATTGGGTCTAGACCCGAGTTCTTCTAGAATTCTTGTTCCATGGGCATGTCCAAGATGTCCACTTGGGACTTTGACAAGAGATCTTGGGATATGAAACGTCGACGTATTATCCCAGTTTTTCGAGACATCTCTTCGTCCCTCTCCTTTTCGCCTCTGTGACCCAGACACTGGCGGCCTACCCAAAGCTGGCTTCAACCATCAGCCAGACGTGCCAAGCTGCCGAACAACTACTCCACCGCTGGCGAAAACCAAACATAGCAGGGACTAGGTGACTAGCTAGGTATATCCGTGAGAGTCCACGACGATGTTTCAAATGGTTGAGCTGAGGTGGTTGCTCGGTAGAGCCGTTATCATGGTGGGCCAGGAATATGTTGGAATCCTATGGTGCCAAACGGCCCCTGCCTTTATTCCCGGACCACGGTACATGAGATCTCGGGCGTGCGAACCCTCCGTGTTGGCAAGACCGCGACGTTGAGCTCAAAGACCAGACCAGCACCCGAAACCTGCCAGGTCACCAATGGTTTGACCTCCAACAGAGCCCAATTCCCAACCCTCCATTTCAGAGACCTGGCAGCTTTCGGGTGCTGGGACATGACCGCCTTTTTTTTGGATAGGAAGTTGGACGATCGTTTGGGTACTGCATTCGGTGATCCAGTAGCTGATGCCATGCACTTGTGGGCCCTCTCTCTAAGTGTGACCTGCAGTGCCGTCCCATGGCGGTGCACTGTGTGATCCCGTTCGTCGTGCGCTGAACTCATACACCCTTAAGGGGGATTCTTCCTGATTGCCTGCTCCTGCATTGACTCTTCACTGGTGGTTTTTTTCTGCTCGAGATTGCTGATCGAAAGCCGCAGGGCCCACTGAATCAATAACTGAAGATGACTGCTCAGGCATGCATTTCCAATTTTCAATACACTGTGTACAGAGTACTTCCACAGGTAACGTTAGCTAGATAGGAACTCAAGATGCCATCTTTCCTCACTCCCCTTCTCAGGGGCTCCACCTGAATCTTCAGGTTTTCATTGCAGCAGTTGACTATCCCTACATGCCATGTGCGGTCTTTGAATCGAGATGCGTGTTCTTTTCTCCTGCACCAACTACTCCACCTCCCGCCACGCATGTGCGATCTTTGAATCGAGATGCATGAATTCCGCCAGCAGATTTCGCGTGTGCAAACTACCTCCTTCCTTCCCTTGCGGAGCGTTTGCATTTTCTGGGTGCGCCGGATTCACGGCCTTCTGTGTGTCACTCCCTGTTCTAAGGGAACACATCACGTCGCCTACTTCCCGCAGATGGCAGGGGTCGGACCTTCTCCCCTTCGCGGGGGGTCCGGACCTGAACCAAACCCTTCAGATTTGTTCGGGCCTGGATTCTTAGGGTATAGAAAATTACTCTCCTAACGTCAACCCTCCATGAACTGGAGCCAAGCGATTTGGATCCGTTGACGGCTCCATTGACGGAACCTCCTTTTCACAGCCTTGCACAGTGAGGGGCTACATCCCGGACCCACAGGTTGTGTAGCCCCCACCTGACTTCATGCTGGATGTATCCTGTGGCCCCAACCACATCCAAAAAGGGACTGGGGTGGGTGCCATGGGTGAAAGTCCCCACCTTCCGACAGAAACCTTAGGGTATAGGTTGGTAGCCTTTTATAGGTTGGTAGCCTTTTCCGTGGCCTTTTTTCCCAGGTCAGAGTGAAGTGGACAACACCGTGGACAGGCAGGAGCTCTTTTGCTCTTTTCATACCCCGAAGTTCTTTGGAGAGTGGATCATCTGGTCAGACCATTTCAAAAAAAGTCGACTCGACTCTGAGGCTTCTAAAACCCTCCTGTGACCAGCCAGAGGGTTCTCATCGTGTCAGATACCCAGGTTTGACATCAGGTACCCAGACTTCAGACCATTCTTGTTTTGGAGTCCGTATCACCTGGGTCTGAAGCCAATTTCCAAAAGAAGCTCGGGTTTGTTGAGAGTCTTGAACAAAGACGGTGCCCAACCGAGAGCCGTTCACCCGGGTGCTTCCCGATGACCTCACCACCGAGATCGGTGGTGGTGGTGGGGTCAGCCATGCAGGTGGATCGTGAGAGGTGCATGGGCATCCATGGCGTATGGCGTGACCCTCGTGCTTCTATCGGTCACCACCATGTGCAGCTTGCTACGAAACCTGGGCGGTTCCGTGCAGCGTGCGCGCTTGCTACGGGGCTATCGGCCCCAGGTGGAGTAAGGACCTCATGCGTTGGAGCGGCCCAAGATCCACCATTGGAGTAAGCAGATGTAATTTTGAGGGAAAGGATTCTGGTGATTTCTTCTTCACCCCAAAGCTCACTAGACCCTCATAGCTAGGCTTTTGACCCTCACAACTGGGTTTTGGACCTGAAAAAACCACGGCGCCGTTGCTTCGGGTCCGAACGGGTCGCTCAGCTGGGGACCAGACGTCTGCGGCTGAAATCATCTGCTCAGCTGGGACGCACGGCGTCGAACGACTCGGAGGTCATGTGAACTTTGGCATCGGCTTCGGCTTCGGGGTGGATGGCTTGGAAGCGGTGCTCTTGAGTGCGCTGCAGGTGCTGATTTGTGGATCTGTCACTTGTGCTGATTTGGGGCGTAGAATTTCAGGTGGTGGGTTGTAAGTTGTCAGTTGTACTTATGTGAGGTAAAGTATGAAGAGTTTGAGAATGTTTCATGTTTTGACTCATCCAAGTGAAACTACGGGTCATTCATGGTCGTTCCAATATACAAGGCCAGGCAAGCTATATAAATTGATTTGGGGCATAGAATGAGTTGCTACAAATATGGACCTGACTCCAAACCCATGCCCCAGTCTCGTCCAGTTCGATACCAGGACATGTCCGAAACCAGGTACCCAGACTTCTTTCGAACGAGTCGACGTCTTTGGTCCATCGGACCCACACCGGGCCTTTGAGCGTCAAACCGGACTGGTGCCCTTCGAACAGAGCCAGACAGCGGATTCAGGCTTGTATGGTGCAGAAGCATTTGTCCACCGCTTCGAGGTGCGTTTGGGAGCAAATTCGAAGACGTGTTTCGTCTCAGCAGCATAGGTGCAGGGTCATCCCGACCACATCATTTGCCAACTTCCTGGCGGGTTTGTAGGACAAACATTTTGGGTGAACCATACATATCTGTAGATCTTTGCAGATGCTTCGGATCACATGAAGGGATCAACCAAAGCGACAGGTCGAACAAATGGTTGTTGTCAATGCAGGTTTGGGATTTCTTTTGGTCTTGGCTGCTGCGTGCTTTAAGAATTAACTTACATATCTTCCCGTCAGGTCATCCTCCCCGAAAAAGATTGGGTGTTGGAGAGTATGAGAGGTCCTCAAGCTGGCTTTTGACCTCTGAAAAATGATAGTTTAAGATAGTTGCCTAGAAGTCCAACGACTATACAAAAAATCCTCAGTACAGTAAAGGAAGTTTTTTTTGGGGTCATCTAGTCAGACCATTTTCACAAACTCCCAGGGTGTTATTTTGGAGGGACATCCTAACTATGCTGTCGAGCACTGCTACAATACTCCCTCCAAGATGTCGCCTCTCAAAAACGAGAGCTTTTGGATCATTTTCCGTGCCCAGTGCAGGTTGCAGAGGTTGCAAGTGGCTTTGTTGTTTGTGTACGTGCCGGTGTGCAGGTTTGCGTCACATCCTATCCAGATCCCACACATTTCCAAAGAGATCGGGCCATTGGCACCGTCATTGAATCTGCGAGGTCAGGCTAGAGTTAGGGTTGGGAATTATGCAACGGGCTCAAGAGAGACACCAGCACATGTTCCAAGAAAGGGGGATCAGAGATCTTAGATCGAGTGTTCATCAGATAAGCAGAGTTGCAAGATCACAAGTCAATCGCAAGCACTCTGGGCCTCCCAGAGCCGCGTCACCGATCCACCTCGTGGCATCCGGATCCACGGTGGACGAGGACTAAAGGCATATATGACAAGATACACATGTATACACAACAAGGCACCCTCGCCATCCCTCCCTTCGAATTGGAGTGCGCCCCTTTGGATTTTTATACCCCCCGAAAAGGACCTGCTTGCTGTGAAATCAGCTGGGCAGCTAAGCTCACCTCCATGGCCTTGGCGCATGGGTGGCTGTGAGGCATGTGGTGCAGTGGTGGGTCTTGGCCTTCGCCTTGGCCAAGTTGGGCATGGCCGTGGGGGACTTCATCCTCGCCATCATGTACTTCAACGAGACGTTGGGCCTCTTGGGCCAAAAAAACGGTGGACAGAGACGAATTCAAACGGACTGCGGATGGTGAATTCGGTGGGATTTGGATTGGAAGTTGACAATCTATATATATATATAGGCTCAACTGGGTGTACACTGTCACCATGGGCGCCACAGGAGACATGAGGAGACCGGAACCTGCGGTTGTGCGGCACCCAAACGCTCCGTGGTCCAAACCGATGGGATTCCGGGTCCATGCCGCGACCGGTCCAGACTTCAACATCTCCGCAACATCGGCCGATCGGCCGAAGGACCCGGCGCGGTTTTGCTCTGAACTGGTTGAATCATTGTTCCTGCCTTACATGGGGGGGGCTAAGGTAGGAGTCATGTTGAATCCCCATCTGGGGAATATGATGTCCTCTTTTTCCTTCTCCTGAGACGCCAATCCAAGCCGGGAAGTTGACTGCGGAACTCCGTGGTGACGTCGCGTGAAAAGTCTTGTCTTTTGGGCGACCCGTTGTTTTGAGCTCCGTTTTGGAGCTCGCAGCAACCTGTGACGTGGGAAGTGTTTGTGGGAAGGTTGGCACCAAGTTGCTGGGGGACCCACCTTGGATGCCCCACAAAACGGGACTCCAATGGGGGGGGTTTTCACGATGAGCTCCTTCAACCCAAGGTCTTGAGCTGATTCATCCACCATCCCGCCATCGGACCCCGCTGAAATCGGTTGCTAAACACACTGGACCGATCCGGACCACGTACAAAGACTATAGAGTATTCTGCCCTACTGATCCCCCACTGAAGTAAAGTCTTGTTCGGGTCACCGTGACTCTGAAACACCTTTCCTGACAAATCGTCGACTGAACTTCCCCCCTGTGTGAGCGACGCCATGCGCCGGATCTTCGGATTGACGCCAAACACGGTTGTTTCTTTTTGGGAAAGAGGTGGCTTCGTGAAGCAGAACTCCAGCTTCTGCACTGCGGGCTACTTGTTTCTTTGGATCCTCAGCCTAGCAGAACGTAGCCGAAAGCAAGCGTAGCAAGCGTGCAAGCGCTTGGGGGTGGCCATTGACACTGTCATGGTGATGTCTAATGGAAAGGTGGCACCCAGGTGGAACTGCATGCCATTCACTTATACTACAAGCACTTTTGTGGGGAAGGATGTTCCTGAGCACTTGAGGGCGCACATGGAGCCTGTTGGCTTCATGGGAGTTCTGCACCTGCATTCTTCGGCTAAAAGGGAACAACAATCGATCCTAAGGAAGGTTCTAGTTCCTTGAGACCCTTGAGTCCCTTGAGTGACATGGAGCCTGCGAATACTTGTATTTCATTGCTTTGGTCTACAAAGCACTATTCGACTTCCCTTTAAAGATCTAATAAAGCAGAGGTTTCCCTATTCTGAGACTTGAGGCACCAAAGAGATTGCTTTTTGCTTCTAAACAGTATTCTGTCAGGGAAGAACCCAGTATGTTATTCTAATGGACTGTACAATATATACATCAATAGATTATCTACTATATAAATAAGACACATCTACCAATCGCACCATCCATATACTTGGGCCGGTCTTCTGGACCTACTGGGCACCTTCTCTTCTCTTCTTCCTTCATATTCTCCCCAGTCACTTCAGGATGCTCATGACATCGATGATTTGCCAATCTGTGGCCGGCACTGCCTTTGCCCGAATCCACGTGGGCGCTGTGCAACAGATGGGCGGAGCTGCACAGGCGCGTTCCGTTAAAAGAAGCGCCGCGGGGCTGGGTGAAGGTTGGGAACTCAGCACAGTAACTGGTTTTGCGCATCAGGTGTTTTTTTTTTTCTCATTTTCACGATATGGTTAAATCCCCTTTGGGGATTCTTTTTTTGCAAGGTTTCTAGTATAGGATTATAGAATGTCAAGGATTGAGACTTGTTGGACATTGATTTCACGAGATAGGCAGGGATCAGTTTTGAGGGCATGATGGATGGGCATACCAGGGTTGGTTGTTATAAACCAATGCACACAATTTGCTTTGATGAATGTAGCTTGAATTCTTGGATACCTTTTGCATCTTTTTGCATAGCTTGATCACCGTCCCAAGAGAGAGAGAGAGAGAGAGTTGCAACACCTTCAGACCACCATCAGACAGCGTCTTCGTTGAGTTGGGGAAGCGGAACGGTTTTGCTCTGCTCTGAAAGCTCCCTCAGGTGACGAAGATCATCGGATGTTCGGGTTTGCTCTTGATTTTCACCACCTTCGGTGCCTGGGAGTTGACACACCGGGTCGGCACCGGGAGTCGCGCCGGGAGTCGCGGTGTTTTCTTCTACTTTCGAGGCCATGACGTCTCCGTCCCTTCTTGCGGTGTGTTTTGGCCGAGCGGCTTTGGAGATGAATTGGAGTTGGAGGGTCAGTGGAGTAGGGTCAGTGGACGCACTGGCTTTTTGGATCAATTGGAGTTGGAGAACCTGGTGCTGTGAGAAGACGCGCTTGGACCCAACGCGCTCCACTCGCCCCTCGTCGACTGGGACCCAACACCGCCGGTCAACAGCGAGAGCAAGGCGTTCACAGCGAGAGTCGAGCATCCTGTGAGTGCTGGGACCGGAACCATTGGTCATGTCAGCGAGGTTTGGGTCGATGTTTGTGTGGGCGATTTTTGGTTTTTCTTCCTTTTTCCGCCCTGCGGCCTGCCCGGCCTGCCCGAATCTCCATGCGGCCCGGCCCGAATCTCCATGCCTGGCTGAGGTGCTGGCATGGGGTTGGGTCTTTGTGGAGCCCTCTTCATTTTTGATAACTCCAACGACACGATTGACCCCATGGCCGGGATCTCCATCACCTACTTCGCTCCTTGGACCTTCGTTTCTGCGCGCAAACACAAAACGAGCATCTGACAGATATATATATATAGCTTATTAGCGGGGGGTTCCGTTTTTGGTGATTCCGTTTTTTTGATGAGATCCTGGAAGACTTGGAGAGTTTTTCGTTGGACTCTGAAGAACTCATGAAAGAAACGAAGAACATCATTGACTGGGAGATCTTTCCAGGGCGCGTTGAAGTTCCGCCCTGCCCAGGGTGCTGCGCTCTGCCAGTTCCTGGCTGGTGCTGCGCTGCTCCGGGCCAATACCCAGGTGCCGGGCCAAGCCGAACGTCGACCCAAAAGTTCCCCTTCAGATCGAAGGCTTCCCACAGAAAAGACTTGCACTTGTATCTTTTTATACTTTAGAAGACAGATAATTATATATTGAATTATACTTCTTATTTTAGTTTGCAGATCAGTTTCTTATCCTTTTTGAGGGGATTTCTTGAATTTCTTTCAGAGGCTTGCAACTTGCAACCCTTGGATTCTGCGTCTTATGACGGACAGTTGGCTCACATCCAACCTTCCAAGGATCCAGAATCAAGCAATGGCAATATCAAACATATACTGTACCCTAGCCATCCAACACTATGTTTCAAATGCTTGACCTGGTTTTGTAGTGCAAAATCCTTAGTAAAACAGCTGGTTCTTCTAATTCTGGGGTCGGCCAGGAAGCCTAGGGATATAGATTGGCTTCTTGGCTTCATTTATTCACCCGCTGCAGGGATCTTGCTAACTGTGGGTGCCCTCCTACTATCCGAACACTCCATGACACATCTGCCTACATTGGATTGGTTTCAGGGGTCAATGGGGCGGCAGTCCTATCGCAGTCCCATTAGTCGTGTCTGGGCTAAGCCGATGTGGCAACATCGAGTTCGGTCGGACCTGGTGCCTGGTGGTCGGTGGGGTCACACCAACGACCACACCAACGACCCAAAACACAGCATGGCCAGGGTGGTCTTTCGCACGTTATCAGCGGATCGTCCCCATGGACCATCCGTTTTCACGCCGTCAGGTTCGCGCCTACTTCCAGAGGGATGCAAGGCAGACCGGTCGTTTCGGTTTTCCGGGTCGCTTAGGTGTGGGCCAAGCAATTTGAGGGCGTGAGGACGAATGGTTTGCTCCAAACCTCAGAAGTCTATAGAAGTCCAAGGACAACCTTTTCCCCAATGAGGTAAAGGAAGTTCCCGTAATCAGCACGTCCCCTCTTTGCAAGACTGAGCCTTACACTTCTGGCTCGATCTGGGTGATCAGGGTGAGGATGAATTGAAAGGTCTCATACACTCATAGACTGATTAGGACCTTAGGACTTTTCTCAGACTCAAAAGACCATACACGCCTACGTTTTTTGACATGCCCCGCAAGCTTACAAGATCTGTTCGTCTGCTCAAAGACCTCATGTATGAGCCTCATCATGGCCTGTCCCTAAGTCAGTGTGGCTTCCTTCCGACATGTCTCACCATGTTGACCCATCATGCGAGCCAGCTGCGGTTTTTTTTGGGGGCAAGCTGTTTGGGGGACCTTCGGTCTTGGGCTCAGCCAGAGCTTGGTCCAAAGCGAAGCCATGTGGGTATCGGAGACCACCCAGTTCGACCCAGTCTACGCAGCCAGGGCGGGGTCTCAGGGTCTCCCTATTAAAATACACACCCACAATGTGGAGACCGGTTTTTGGACGGTGCCCTTCCTTTTTTGGTGTCCTGGACGGGCGCATCTCGCAGTGGCTGAGGTCGATAACTGAGATGCAGTCTTTTTGATGGCCAGTGCAGCAGCCATCAGGGTTGGCCACCCGAAGCGTAGAAAGATGTATACAAAGGAAAGGGTCACTCAGTTAGTGAGGGCTGGGCCGGCTGGGCCCTACCCCCACAAAAGCATCCCCCTAGCCATTGCAGGTGGGTCATTTCTCAAGCCGGAGAGTGCGCCAACCCTAATCACTTTGCTATACTTGACCGATTGCTCAGAGAGAAAAAGCACGAGCAGCGCGGAGAGTTCCGGTGCTGGACACTGACCAAGCAGTTCATGGTCAACACATGAGCAATTCTTTTCCTGTTTGATCTCCGGCTTCCTAATACTATTGATTTAATACCCTTTTACAGGACAACCATTGTTTTACTAAAGGGTTTTAAACTACAACACCAGGTCGTTCCCCCTTTTAAAAGACTCTTGGAAGCCCAGGGATCTCAAGACATATGGGGTCTTGACTTGTTGCCCTTCATCTGACGGATGATCGAAAGGTCTTGCACCCAAGGGGATACACTAATTATATAATGTGCAACAACGCCTCTTTTCCGGTGCAAACGAACTCTGATCATTTCTGGCTCCAACGGTGGCGCCAAAAAGGGGTGATTCGGTCATGGGCAGAATCGAATGCGCGGAGTCCTTGTTGGAAGACAACATCACGACTGGGGCCCAGCTTCACTACAAGATCCTTGGACTGCCTTGCTTCCCTGTTCGGGCAGAAGGATTTACTGTATACCTGGTGACACATGGTGGCACTTCCAATGGGACAGACTGGGCGGCCCTTTATGCCCTAGGTTGGTTGATTTGAGGGGATACACCGGTCGTGAACCGGTCTATTACATCGCCCCCTTTTTTTTTTGGTCGGACCACAGTGCCAGGCATCTCAACAAGAAACTGATCTGCTTTTGTCTAGCTTACCATGAGGAGTCAACTGTACATATTCCTACTCTACCCTTAGGCTCAAGATGAAACAGGCTTTATGTACCAGCACCCTCCTGGCCAGGCTGTGGGTTGGACTGTTGGACCCGAATCGGTCGAACCAGACAGGTGACCTGTCGGGTCCTAGTCCCGGTCGGGTCTGAACCCGGTCGAACTGGACGAGTCGATCCCAGGTCCAACTCTTGGCCTGTGAGAGCCTTCTGGTCCCAGCTTCGGGGGTTTCGTGGAAGAACAAAGCGGAGGCGGCCGATTTCGGAAAAAGAGAGGCGCCAACACCGGAGGCCGGCGCGTGAAGTGGTGAAAGGATGTTTCAAGGCTTCCCCTCGAATTGGGTGAACGGGGGGTGAGTTGATTTGGTGTTTTCTCATGTTGCTTCACTCAAGGGTTTCCCACGACGGTGGTGAAGGCGTCGCGGCGCGATGTGAGTCACAGGAGGTTTCATTCCGGGTTCCGCCTGTCAGGCACCCTGGCGGACTTGGCGTTTCTTGTTGGAGTAAGCGGTCTTTTCGGGGCTAAGTATATAAGGTGACCGAAGAAGGCGACCACCAAGAGCGAAGACGAAGTGAAGATCCTGCAGCTCAGGTGATGTTAAGGATTTGTGGGGCTCTCGTGTAGGCCGTGAAGAAGACATTCCCGTTGGGAGTCTGGCCGCCTCGCCGTGGTGCCTCTGAGTTTGATGGCTTCAGCTAGGAGCGATTTGCACATATGGACCTGCAAGCAAACCAGGCCGCCAGCGAGCCTCCAATCCTCGGATTCAGCAGAATATATAGCATGTACGTACACTTTCTGACTTTTAACATGCAGCCTAGGTCTCTGTAAAGGTCAGCGACCTTCGAGTATTTTCTCGACTTTCGAGGACTTCCGAAAACAAGTGAGCGAAGTATCCACCGCTTCAGGACCATCGTTGGTAGGAAGCACTCAGCACTCCACACGCACTGGTCCTGCCCTATCCCTCAACCTGGCCTATTGCAAGCGTGAAAGTGCTACCTCTGGTGACCCTGCAAGTTTCTCAATTGAACTACGTCCATGGCAGTCCCAAATGGATGGTTCCGGGCACCTGACGCCGTGCCGCCGTGACGCTGAGTGATGTGTGACTGCGACTCAGCGCATGGTGGGGAGGATCTGCGCATGGTGGGAGCTGTAGGACTCAGAGTTGTGTTTGGGCCCCAAACACAGGCAGGTGAAGCCTCAAATGCTTCATTTGTTGCAAACTAGATAACAGTGTGGGCTGGGAGCACAGCAGGAATCACACGATATCACACGGCTATACCGCATGCTAAAGGACGAGAACACATAAAAGACATCAATTCTAGATCTCAGACATTGTGGTTGAAGTATGTAGTTTTACACCCTAAACATCCAGGCCTTAGGTTTGGTTTGGGCTCCGGTCCTTTCCCATTCGCATTTCAGTGGAGAAGCTCCAACCAAACACTGCGTGAATCGGTGGAGAAGGCCTGCTCCAACCGATTCCGAGGGCGTTCGGACCCCGCTCCGCCGAGGTTGGTGCGGCCTCTTCCAGGCCGTGGAAAACGTGGGGAAAACGAGTCGGCTTGGAAGGCGTGGAGTCTGGGGACTCGTCCCAAACCAGGGATTGAAAGCAGCGAGACCAGTGGTTTCAGAGGTTCGGGCTGCGGCTGCACTTTTGACCCAAAGATGTCTTGAAAAGATGGAAGTCGAGATACACCTCCAAACTTGGGGATTGTGCCACTACTCTGAAACCACTACTCTGAAACAGCTGTTTCAGAGTAGTGGTTTCAGAGTAGTGGCACAATCCCCAAGTTTGATCATTCTCCTTCCACGGGGTCGCACCCCCTCACTTGCGACGTGTCGTCTCCTGACTGACGTGTCAGGCCCCTAAACAGGAGACGATGACGACAGGGTCCAAGTCTTGTTTTGCTGTTGCTTTCAGAAGGATGTTGAGCCCTCCAAGCTCGGTGAATGAGCAGTTCCCAAGGCAACCGATGCACGAAGGCAACCGATGCACGTGGGTTCCTCTTGGTCTGCAGCTTGATCTTCGGAATTCCAAGCCTTCCAATCGACGAGTTTTAACATGTTTGACCGTTTGACCATGGTGGGTTTTCGTGTCAAGTCCCTATAGTTAGCTAAAGCAGGTTCTTCCAGATTCAGACTCTTCGCCTTCGGCCTAAGAAGGCTAAGGGAGTCTTAAGACGCTCAACCTGGCAGGGCTCTTTTTGGGACCTCACACTCCGGGCGACCGGCCCAAGTCGCGACCTGCCGGACTGGACCCCGCGCGACCGACGAACGCCGAGATGGATGCCCTTTCACGCACGCCGAGTACCACGGCCATGCCGGTGGGGTGGTCCACGGCGGGCGCTGGGCGCCGTGGGTTCCAGGCGGCTCCGAGCTGTACGACGCCGAGACGGAACTGGGTGACGTCAGGTGATTGGTCGCAGCTCGTTTCCCAAGATCGAAGAAGAAAGAAACTGCAGATGATGTTGTTTCAAGCCCCATGATTTTGCACGTACCAGGACCATTCGACCACCGGGGTGTCCTGGCTGGACTACCCCACACTAATTACCTAAAGGCTTCCAGACAGGGCACCCCTTTGGATGGTCCAGGATGGTCCAGGTATAGTTTTTCCAGGAAGTGTTTTATGGTTTTGTTGGTTTGCCAGGATCAGAACAACCTGAGGAGAAGAAGCTCGACCCGCCCTCGCCCTCAGTATAACTCGCCCTTCGACTTACCGCCTGGGTCGCGGTCGAGGCGGTGTTTCTCTGGGCTCCTGGTGGTGCTGGGCTTCCGCCTTCGAAAGCGCCACAAGATCGGGCAGACCCGGAGTTCGCGACGAGGAGAAGAGAGGTGGGACGAGCCCAGCTGTTCTTCTGTTTCCAGTACTGTCCCTCTATCCCAGGATTCCCCACAGTCCCAAAGCATGCTGTAACCTTCACATTTCGTGGTGTTGTATGGATTAATATTGGTGCAATTGCTGCATCAGTTGCTGCAATGGTGTTGTACACAGGGGAATTTAAGATGCGCGCCTCGTGCTCGATGGTTTCGCCACCAAAAAACACGCAATGTGAGACACACTTGTGAAACATCAACCTGAAGGGATTGATTCACTGTGTTCACGAAAGGAGGTCAAGCGGTCCGGGCCTTCAATCCATCAGGTCCAAAGACGTCTCAAGTGATTCAGGTCTCGAGCGGATGAATTGGTGCAGGGGCTGTGCGAAGCGGCGACGGAAAGAAGCCTGGATGTGTTGAGTTGTGTGTTCTTTTTGGTCAAAAGGAGAGTGACCCCTCAAGAATTCTGTTTCTTTTTGGGTTGAATCCAGTTGAATCCATGCATCAGAGTTATTGGGAATTACTATTTGTCGCCAAAGTACCCCTGGGTGAATTGAAACACTACCCATCGGGTCACCACGCCAGCATAGCTGAAGATACGATAATGTTATGTACGTGTAGAGGTTGAAGCGGACAGATGTAATTATATATATATATATGCCAAAGCATGGGAGAGCACCAAAGAGATAGAAGATGTGACCCTTAGATGTGACATGTAATGCCACCAAAACATGGTGAAACTCGTGGATCACACGATAAGACATTCCATGGGACTGGCATATTAACCTACATTGGTTGAAGAAGGGTCAATATAAGTAAGTAGTATACAATATTCCAGTCCCATGGAGTGTTTGGGCAATGATCAGACCAAGGACACCTTGAGGACTCCCTTGACTCAATGTTGCTACCGGAAGACAGGCGCTCCAAGGCAATCCTTCAGCAGGTTTTGAAGACATTGTCCGAGCAAAAGCGTGCCAATCTGTTGTACGATACGTTAAAGACCATCCTGGACAATGGCAGCATAAAGCTACAAGGGTCCAATTGCACAGTCGGCATATCAACCTGCGCGAGGGCAAAAATGTGGCAGCAAGCCTTGAAGTTGTTTGCGGCCATGCCCGAGATAAAAGTTCAGCCCGACGGGATCAGCTACAATGCGACTATCAGTGCCTGTGAGAAGGGCGGGCAGTGGCCGCAAGCCTTGAAGTTGTTTG